TATATTTACTCAACTTTAATATTTGCTCACAAATTCCGTGCTTTAATTACTAATTAACAGAAATGTACACTTTGAACTTTGAATTTTTTAAGTGCGCCCATAAAGAATTTGAAGCAAAGTCTGTTGTGTTTATTTAAAGATTTCTGGTTTTTGTTTTGTTTACATTCGCTGCGAGCATTGTTGTTGGAGAAATTTAGACGATTATATCACCAATATTATGACTTCTGCGAACTGAAATCGAATCTATATAAAAATTATGTCACTCTCTTTGTTTTAGATTCGATTTATTTACACGACACGCATTAATCACGCATTCCACACTTTTGATAAATTTGCTAGCTGGATTTTCAGCGAATTTTCCATTTTAATAGTTTTAATGGTCCATTTGAGATTTTTCAATATCAAAGCTGTTTTACGGTTGCGAAATTGAATTCGAAATCGCGTGCCGATGCACCTAGAGGGAAAATCAATCGATCGATGTCTGACCCGCAACAATAGGCGAAATTATCTAATAAATTACGTATAAGAAATTAAAAGCGAAGAGCTGGAAAATGTGGCCTTGGCATGCACCGTGACTGGAAAATTGTTGCACGAAGATGTGGGTGGGCCACAGGGGTTGGGGCAGAGGGTGGTGGGATGGTGGGGCGGAGGCTTTAGTGTATCGATATAAATTTATTGCTGAAAGAGACAATGCTTAGCCAAATTAGGCCAATTACTGCTAAATAATAAATTCCAACAACGACAACAGCAACAACAACAACAAACAGTTAATAAACCAACTGAGCCAAACGGCGAACCCAACCCGTCAGGTTACGTGCAATGATTGCCTCAACATTTGCTGGGCCTAAGCAGAGCCTGAAGGGGGAAAAGGTTGGGCAAGCGAGGTAAAAGAGTGAGAGTGAACGAACGGCATTGAGCGAAAAGTGTGTGGCAGCAGAAGAGCGGGAGAGAGTGAGAGCGAGAGAGAGAGAGAGAGAGAGAGAAAGAGTGAGTGGCGTTTGAGCGTCGAGTGCTTGCTCGTTAGCCAGTTGTTTAGTTTACTTGAAATACCCTTACAGAGCGCGAACAACTTAAATTTATAATGAAGTAGGTGAAGGTTTTTTGAACATAATATTATAAAGTTTATATTTTCAATTTGTTAAAAGCTTTGCGGTATCAAAGCCAAATTGAAACGAGATAAAATGAAGCGAAGCATTGCATTAATATTTAACACTATTGAGACATACAGAAGATATTAGAATGTAAATATAGAAGATCGAAACCTCTATAAATTGTGTCTTGAAAAATATTCTAGTTGATTTAAATAATACAAACAAATTTGAATAAAATAGTATTTTATATTCAATTCATTTCCATAAGAAACTAGCCAAACTTCATATAACACTTTTAAGAATCTAAGCCAAAGTATTCCAGTCACCATTCAAATTGTAGAGTATTAATAGTGCGACTATTCATGATTAGCGTTTTTATCATTATATTAAAATTGCGACTAGGAAGGTGAGGTTACGCCAAAGCGACCAATAAGTTAGCTGTAAAGGTCTCCGAGGAGCACGCTACTAAAACAGTCGTAAAAATTTCATGAAACTAGAAATTTGGCGGCGTGCATACAAATCATGTCATAATACACATGATTTATTTTATATACATAAATGAAATAATAGTTCATAATTCATATTATATGAATAAGTATAATATACTTATTGCTGATATGCGAGCTGAGCTAATTGCAAGTAAATTGTAAGCCAGATTTTGTGAGGAAAAGTTATGCAAAATAATTAATATTTATTCTAAAGATGCTCTTCGTATGTAGTCTTCTTTATTCTTCTTTGATTAATGATAAATAATATATATTTTATACATATATTATTAATTTATTTATGTATTTTCTATTAATTTATTATTAGAATTATTACATTATTAAAAAAATATGCATAATTATATATTATTATTCATATTCAAACGACAAACTCAATTAACAAATCGAAACTCCTCAGAGCCCGCTTGTAGCGTAGCGCAGCAAAGCGAAAAAAAGTGAAAGTCTTGGCTTAGATTTACTTTTATAGCACTCGCAGAAGTTGCAACAGTTGCAATGTCAGCCAGCAGGAGTCGGCGGTGGTCAGCAGTGGGGCAGCTACGTGGAATGTAAGCAATTGTGTCTGTATGTATGCGTGTGCACTTATGTATGTACAAAAGCTGGAAGCGAGTGACGAATAAATACATTGGTATGATAAGACGAGCTGGATTGCTCATACATTTGGCGCCCGATTAGCTGGTCGTTCACTTGTTTCCGTTCAAAAACCAAACAGCAAACAGCAAACAACAAACAAACGAACACAACGAAACACAAACAAAAACATAGAAGAGGCAAGCACAAAGGTATGTAAACAAATCGACTTCGAATCGGGTCTGGCTAAATCGAGTAAATGGAGAGTATGGAGAATGGAGATTTAGGCTTACGTATGCTTCCATGCGTGCTCTTGCTTGCTATTATGGTCGCGTGGAATGGATGATAGTGAGCTGTCGTCAGCCGCGTCGTCGTTAAGCTTAGTTTTATGTGCCGCCGCTTACCTATGCCGTTATGCGGGTCGATGTCTCCGTCGGCATCCTCCGAGTCTTGCGACTGTGGACCGATCACAAAGTAGATCAGAAAACAGGCGGGCAACAGGATCAACATGATATATACAAAACGCCGGTAGCCGGAGTTGCCGGCCCGGCCGTAACGTGACGCCGCCATGCCGCCACCCATCGATGGCAATTCCTCAGCTAGCTGGGGATGGTAGCGTATCCGTCCGTTTGACTGTGACTGCACGTCCGTTTCGATTGTCCAGCGCTCGTCGTCGTCGTTGTTGTGGCCGTGCTCGTGGTCCTGGTCGTGGTCGGCGCGAGGCACGAGTGGTTGATAGTGGGCACTTGGCATTGTGCAGCTGCTCTAATGCGGCGCGGGGCAGCTATCGCAGCAGCTTCCAATGGGTGGCGATGGTGGTGGTGCTGCTGCTGCTGCTACTGTTGGTGGTGGTGGCAACTGCAACTCCAACTGCAACTGAAACTGCGGCAGCTGATGGAAGAGAGGGCACAGATGACGACAGCGCCGGGCTGTGTTTGCCATTTGTGAACTTAAACTTTCTTATTGTTTATCTGTTGTTTTATTGTTTTTTTTTTTTTAGTTTTTTTTTATATTTGTTTTCCTGTTTTGGGTTTTTTTGATGCGTCTGGTTGTCGACCTATCTATATCTGCATATATACATATTTGCAATTATACAATTCGTTCATCGTTACGCGTCGTTCACTGCGTCTTTAATGCTAATCTTGAACATTATTTATATTATTTTCTTTATTATTGGCCAGTTGTCGCAAAGGTCTCTCTTTCAATATATATATATATATACATAGGTGTCTCTTTGTATATACGCAAAAATAAATCACATCAACTCACACAAAACGAACGCCCAAAGCCACAAGCACACGCGATTGAGAGAATGCCGCATGCTTTTTTAGGTGCTCAGCAAAGAGACAAACAACAAACAACACAAGGCAACAACTACTGAAAAAGTGTTGCTTAATATTAATTCTATTACTTATTTCGCCTGCTATTCGCATACGCCTATTTTGTTGTTGTCTCGATGAGTTTGACAGCAACACTGACGCAGCCGATGGCAGCCAGAGCTCCTAACATTTGCCGAATGAAGCGCATTTGGCTCTCTCCGTCTCTCTCAGTCTCGCTCGCACACGCTCTCACGTTGCCCATCATTGGGCACAGCTGCTGCCACACAGGGTTGCTCTGTTTTGCACTAGTATTTAGTGTGGTTGGTGTCTTTGCTAACTGCTCATGTCAGTTTACTACTAAAATTTCAGGCTGTTGGCGCGCATTTAAAAATTATTTGTCTACTAGTTTTAAATTTTTAATACAGAATCTAGTCTTCTTTAAAGTAAACTATCAAAAAGTAATTTTTAAAATTTTATAATCATAATATAGATGAGTAATTTCCAAAAATTTTATATTTTTAAAACTTTGTTAATTTTAATTATGTATATATATTTATTAATATCAAGATTATATATTTCATATATATAATTTTTTTCATGTTGATGTTTTATATATTTTTTAAGTATTCTATTTATTTATTTATTTATTTTTTTTTTTGTGCTATAATAGATGATTAATGTGATCATTTCTGTTTTTATACGCTGAATCCATTTTCAATGTTGTATTTTATTTTATTTTATTATATTATTTTATTTTGTATTGCAGCAAACAAAATACTTGCAGGAGGATAGTAAAAATGTATTGAATATTGATTATTTTGTAAGCAGTCATTTAAACAATATATTTTCAGGATAACATTTGGAACTAGCCCGTTTATGATTATTGCTAGGCAAACCCAAACCTGGACAGAACTTTTTTTTTATTGAGATTAGCAAGCCACAAGCCTAGCCACGGCACTTAAGACTTAGATATAAAAGAATGCAATCAGAATTTATGAAAATACGCGAAACAAAAAAATGTCAAATGGAATATTTATATAAATATCTGCAAGTATTAATATTTGCCATTTATATCAAACTATATAAATTGCAAGGAATATGTACTGCTGATAAACATATACATACATATATGTATGTATCTCTGAAGGTCAATCAGTCTGTGTGTAATAAAACTTTCTTATCAGAAATGACTATTCATTTTTGCTGGTTCAATTTGTAGACCTGGCTAGTATCTTATCTAATCTGGAATAGTTGAACCTTACCTGGTAACCGAAAGTCAAGCAAAGTTTCACTCTTTTTGACATTGATAAAATAAACCTATATAGGGTATACACCTCAAGGAAGAAAAATTTGCATAAGTTTTAAAATTTTTTTTTTATTTATTTTGCTTTTTCTGTTTGCTGTTTCTTGTGAAATGTTTTACAATGCAATTGCGTTACAAAAACGAAATCGTCTTAATTAGTTTAGTTAATTAAAGCAAATAATTTTCACAATTGTTTTTTTTTTTTCTCTTTTGTTTTTATGTTACATTTAAAGCCACATTTGTATTTTGAATTATTTGCTGATGCTGCGCTGCAGAGTGTTGAGCACACCAAAAAATAATAGGTGCAGTGTAATTGAATACATTTAATCTGAGCAAATCAAAGTGCTGGAATTAACTCGATTAAATGTGTGTGTGTGTGTGTGTGTGTGTCGCAAACATAGCAAACTTATGGAATACATAATTAACTAAATGGTATTAAGAGAACTTAGCGAATTGTCTTTTCTGACGGCTGCTGTTGCTGCTGCTTGACGACGACAATCCATTTTGACAAAGAAACAAAAGGAAGAATTTGAAGTAGAGGCATTGAGGTTTAATTTCTATTGCATTTGCTCTTAGATGAGCTTCTGAATGGTCTCCGCCAATTTGGTGGCATTGGCGCCAGCGAACTCCTCCAGTTTGGCGGAGTTCTTGATGAACAGGAACGTGGGCATGCTGGAGACGTTGTATTCCATGGCAATGTCTTCGCACTCATCAACATCAACCTGTCGAACAGAAGAAGGCATCGAATTATTGAATATCAATTGTATTAGGATTGAATAAGTTCTATACCTTGATCACAACAATCTTTTCGGAATACTGCTGCGCCAGCTCTTCCAGCTTGGGCGCAATCATCTTGCAGGGTCCACACCAGGTGGCAAAGAAGTCCACAACGACCAGCTTATCGCCCGCATTCGTCAGCTGTGTCTTGAAGTCGTTCTGCAAATAACAGAAATGGGGATATGATTTAGATTTAGTCCGACATGGATTATAAAATTCCCTAATGAATTACTATAATTACATTAGGGTTTTTACACATACATAAAAATAATTATAAATATAAATGCTTACTTAGTAAATATAGAAGGGCTTTAGTTAAGATTGAAAGGCTCTAACACGATTTATCTAAATTAATTTGAAAATTATCTTGATGCTTTACAATGCTGGAATATAGTATCTTATCGAATGAATGCATCCATATATTTATAGGCACAATGAAGTTCCTTGAAGTGCAAGAGAATATACTTTAGCAATGAGCTTTACTGGCTTCTTATCGTATTATATATGCACCTGCATATTGCTCAAGATATATCAGCTATTAAATGCAGACCCTTACAATATACTGCAAGCTGTATTCAATGTAACACTTATGGCTGTAATATCTTTATATTACACTTACTATCAGCTATATCAACTGTAAGCTGTACTTTTTTATTGCTCTATTAATTTTTAGAGTGATGCCGCTTTGGATCATATTAAGCACTTATATATGTTAAATATATAGTGTGCATATACATATGTAATTTGTAGTTCTTATCGCTAGGGGGGCCCAACTCGATCGATTTCGTTTTAGTTAGCTACTGTAGCACGTTGCTCCTTATCAGTGCGTGCTTTGACAAGTGTGATAAGCACGTTTAGTAACCCCATTTAGAGTGTCAAATAGGGAATGCTATATACACATTTTATATACAAAATATGCATATATGTGTGTGTGTATTTTTATGTCGCTCACATTATATACACTTTAACTTTTATCCGCTTCTATATCATTTTGCATTCAAATATTTGTGTGTGGACTTTTACTTATTTGCCCAGCCAGTGAAGCGTTTCGCCCCATATTTCGCCCAACCACGTGAATAGCGAGCCATTTGCTTAATTGCTTAATCATCGACAACGTGTCTCATTTGAAATGGACTCGCGAGTTGGTGCGAGTAGAACAGAACTTAACTTTTGACCTGAATCTAACTATGTACACACACACACACATAGATATTCGTGCAGTAATGCTTAAAGCTATTTCGCAATATTTTCTATATTTTGAATTAAATTCCAAAATGTTTTTCGTATATCTTGAACGTGTCTGTATTAAATTTCAATAAAATCTTGAAGTATAATTGTTGTATAAATATTGCTATACGCTAAACCCATTCAAAATGAAGAATCCGTATAATGGGGTTTATTGCTTTCACATTATAATTTCATTCATATTTAGAATTCACAAACATTGAATACAAATTATTTTGCTAAAAATATTTCATACTTTGAAACAAAATTCTCATTTTGAAATTTTGTATAAATATTTTTTCATTTGTTGAATGTGGCTGTATTATAATTCATAAAAATGTTGATTGATCCAATGAAAATATAAGTTCAGAAATATTTTGAATGACCTCAATTTGCACACACGTAAAAATAAATATTAATAAATATTTGACTGACTTCATTCTGAAAAAATGTACAAAATTGTAATATTAATACATTAAAAAATGCTCCAAAATTTCAAAATCAATACCTTCTTATACAAATTTGTTTAATTATAACAATTTCTAATTTTATTTGAGACCTGTATAAATTTCATGCTTTTCATCTCAATTGAAATAAAAGTTCATTTCTATAATTATTTTATAAATGCTCAGATTTTCAATGTAAATTCTTTTCTTGTTTATTTATCAAGTTTTTCCATTCAATATAAATTGCAAAAAGTATATGACTAAATATATAATACAGGTAATTATACATTTAAATGTATATATCTCGATTAGATATTGACATTCATTCAAAACAGGTCTTTCATTGAAGCTCTCGGGTCAAACTTAATATAGTTGTACTTTTCTACTTCAATATTCATAATGAATCAATATGGAAACAATTGGCATGTTAGTGGGCTTGGATTATTGTACTATATTGTGGGCGTGTACCAACTAGTTGTACTTTCACCCAAACATTTGCATTGATTAGTCTTGGTCCTAGTCGGCTCCGCCTCTGTCACGTTCTGTTGAATGACCTTTTATTAATTGCAGTCATTTGTAGCACGACATTTGATGTTCGTAGCTGAATGATTCATTGTGTTTGAGCCGAGGCTCGAATCGTACTACTTCTAAGTGTCTACAGTTAACGCCAGAAATGACGAACCGTAACAGTTAATATGTGTCCATTTGTTGTAGGCACTGTGATTCCAATCTCTTTATTATATTAATTCGAATCACAAAATGAAACTAACTAAGCAAAGCCATCTGGAAACCGGTTGCCCCTTTGCCCCATGGCAACTTGAATGATTTAACTTAATATATATATGTATATATAACTTGTTTTCGCATTTATATGTACTTTTGTTGAATTGAATTTGGCTACAATTCTGAGCTGCCTACACAATATCTTAAACCGAGCTGTGATTCATATATTTCTGTTGATTTATCTCATCCGATTGATTGAAGATTTTACTCACGGCATCCACGGGAATTATCAATGAGTAATAATTTACTGTCTCAATCACGAAATCATTGCGGAATGTTTATCTACTTCGTCAGTCCTAGTTGCAAGTTGCATAAATATTTAAATTAATGACATCTTATCATTAAAATGTATGTTTAATATTTTTTTAAAAGGACGATAGTTCAAAGCATCAGAAATGTAAAATTAGATTTCTGCCGCATGATGACTCAAATTGGTGAATGTTCTCAGAAACCTACATAATAAATATATTAATATACTAGAAATATTAGACTTGCGGCTTAACTAATACTGGAAATGTTAGACTTGTGGCTTATAATATTTAAATGGAATTAATTTAAATAAAATTAAATAAATCATAAATATAATAATATATTATTTACAATTTATATTATTCAAATACATAAATAATTTTCTTTGCTTATTACTTATAACTTTTGAATATTCCTCATGTTTTTTTTGTCAATAGACAATGAAACAATATTAAAGACTTAATTATAAATTTAAAAAAAAGTCTAATAAAATAAGTAAATAAATAAAATAATAAATGATAAAAAAAAACCTATTCCAAAGTATCGCAAATTTAAATAATAGAATATAGTAGAATATTGAAAAATGATTTTCTGTCTTCTATATTAACCCAATTTTTTTAATATTTTTTAATTTTCAATTAGATCTTACATTTGACTCAAATATTCCAAGAATAATTTCATAATTTAATGACAAAAATAAATCATTATCATCATCATAAATATAGCACAAAACTATTTTTGTATTTTTCTTTGATTACTAAGGAATTAGAGCTTTTTGTAAACAGGTTATTGATAAATTTTATAACTTATAACTGTCTTAAGCCAAGTTTTGTTGAAGTCATGAATATTTATTTTATCGACATGAGCTAATCAAATTGTTTACTTGAAATTATAGATTGTTTGCACATACAGGTATATAATAATTTCAAAAGCTGGGACACTATTTTGTGCACTCCAACTAGTGTTACGAAATGGAATATTAAAGTGAGAGCTAATTAGCAACTTGTGACAGTGGCTTTTCCTGTTTTTCTTGTTTTTTTTTTTAAATTCATTATCAAGAATTCCAACCGAAATTAGAAACCGGATATATGGCCTGTCTAATCTGAGAAAATTCGGTATGTTGTTGCTTAAATCAAAGTCAAATAGTTTTTTTGGAGGAGGTTTAAACCTAAAATGTTGATAAGACATTTGTTTATTTTAATTTCTAGATATTTGTTTATTGTTTTTCTAGCCTTTCCTTGTGAAATCAAAAGCATTCCCATTCAACAATAGATATGTTCTTTATACATACATATATCAACAATTCGTGACCACAATAAAATATAGTGTTATATACATATCTATATATATATATATATAGATATATAAATGGTATTTTTAAGCATATTTACATACGAAAACATGTTTATTTCACATAATGATCTAATGAGAACCTTGTGACGTCATTAAAAAAATGTGAACAAATCTTAGAATTTTTTTTTTTTTTTTTTTTTTTTTTTTTTTTTTTTTGCGTGCTCATAAATAATTAATATATTCACTAAGCTGACGTAAGACATTTATATTTCTTTTAGTACGGTCAAGAGAAGGTGTTTTGTTAGCATTCTATGGCTATGGAAACCGGTTTTCGTAGCTTTCGCTGGCCCGCCAAAAGTGATTAAAGGGTAACACGAAGGCCAGCACACCCTGTGTCCCAGCTACAGCAACAGCAAATAAAATTGTTTTCTAATTTTTTTTTTTTTACTGATAAATGAAATGCAAACTCATCGTGATGAAAATGGGGTTTGTCTGGTAAACTAGATGTTGGCTAGTATAGCAATGCAAATACAATGCATAGTTCTGTATTTATGTATGTATATACAATTGTCTACTTATTGTCGTCTAGTTGTTTTTCTTTTTTCACAATTCTTACACAGACAAACAGTTCGAGAAGGCATAAAAAATTGAATTTGCTACTTTCTATAGCGATGCGTTGGCTTTCAATGAAGAGATGATATCATTGTCATACTGGTTTTCTCTATGTACATACTTATATAAATATATATACATATTTGTTGTTTGTGTGAAGCGTATGGCAATTGGGGCAAACTATCGAAATGCGAGGCGAAGTGGGGCGAGGCGAGGCGAGACGAGTGTGCAATATATTTTGCACATTACTTAACCTAATGAGCGAAAGCAATTACAATAATTGTAATACTCACTGTGTCTGTAACTGTGTACACCATTTTGTAAATAGTTGCTGTTGCTGTGGTTTGATGGTTAGGTTAGGAGTAAGAACAACCGGTAAAGCTGTCTGAAGTTTTCTCAATTAACGAATAGAGCCGCACTCGGAGCACACGCAACCAACTCGTGGGGATTTAATCTAGCGAATGCGAATGCCAAGCGTTGGCATCCGCTATCATATATGAGCGTTACAAATTCACCACGCAAAAGAGCGGGAGAACGTGAGAGCGTGGCGAATTCGTTGTGAGCTGGCAGGGCTGGTGAATTTATGCGGCGTGCTGGAGAGGTCACACATAATTATTCAATTATGCTTTAGCTATATTTTTATGTATTGTGGTTTAAAGTAAAGTACAAAACAAATTGGAAAATTATATATAAATTAAAATTTCAAATTCTTCAATTCATTAAATATTTATATAATATAATTATGAAATACAACTCTGCAGTGCAGTCGTCTTGACCTTAGCAGCTGACCCTGCTTGGGCCATAGCTTATGTTTCCATTCGCCAGATGTCGCTAGTGTGCATTTGTGACGTTAGGTCTTAGATAGATTTATTGCTTCTAATTGAAATTAACTTTTTAATATTCAAAATAAACTTGTAATTAAAATATAAAATACCTTTAAGATCAATTTAAAAGAGCTATGCATTTTTTATATGAAACTTCTGAAATGCAGCTCTGAAATGTAT